TTAAGCACAGCACTATGACGCTATCCACAGCCTCTGCAGCACGAGTTCGATCCCCCATCCAGCCAGGGAGCTACCCACATGGCACAGCAGACCTCTCCTGACTCGCCTGCTGCTCCCCTCAACAGTGTATTTCAGATCTGTCTGTTCTGCTCCCCGCTCTGTCTCTGGTGAATCCTCTTGCCCCTGCACCTCTTGCCTGTATCCCAGTTCTTGTATGCATAAATAAATATTAAAAAAAAAGAAAAAAATTAATTCAATATACAGAGAACAGTAATTAGATAAAGGGTAAAGATCTGTAGTACTCCAACTTCTAAGAGCAGTTTGTCAAACTCCCATTCAGTTTTGTGCAGTCTCTGAGTTACAGTAGAATCTTTCCAATACATTATCAGTTAAGGATGTGTTAAGTTGCAAGTAACATAGTTTAACCATATAGTAATTAATTTTGTTCCTGTAAAAAGATGCTGGGAGATAAGCATTCCAGGGTAAGAGCAACAGTTCCAAGTTACAAAATGTCATAAAAGACCAGCTTCCTCTGTCTTCCTGTTCCACCATCCCTAGTGTGAGGCAAGATATTGGCTATACTTCCTAAGCAGAGTCTGCTTTCTCATCAGGAAGAGAAGGAAAGGACAGTAAAATAGGGAATGAGAATGCAACTGGGAAATTATGAACAGCAGGAAACTGTTACTGGGGCAGTAGAATGAAAGGAAGAGATGATATTAACGGAGCCTATGAGCTGGGACACTCAGTGGGAACTGAAACCATATAGGAAGAATTGCCCATGGGAGTTGAGGTAGGAAGGCAGTCCTCCAGTGAAACATGGAACCCTGGAAAAGACACAGCCAAATTTGGAAATGCTACCTGAAGCAGACATCTTCCAGCATCTCTCCGATTACCTGAAAATAACTGAGTCAGGGAACTTTATAACTACACTTGCATGAATCAATTCCTTGCAAAATAGAGCAAAATAGAGGAGGAGCAAGAAATACATTTGGTGGGCCTCCCCGGTGGCACAGCGGTTGAGTGCTGGGTTGCAAAGCTGCCCGCAGCTTCTGCAGCGCCAATTCGATCCCCTGCTGCGCCCCAGCCACCAGAGGAGGGTCCTACATGGCGCGCAGACCTCTCCTGCCGCCCGCTGCTCCCCTCAGCAGTGTTCTTCGGTCCTTCTGCCTGCTCTGCTCCCTGCTCTAGCTCTGGTGAATTCTCTCACCCTCCCGCGCTTCTGTCTGTACCCAGTGCTTGTATAAATAAATATATAAATCTTAAAAAAAAAAAAAAAAACATTTGGGACAAGCACAATTATAAACATTAAAGTTTCCAAAGATGTTTTCAAGTCTATTAGAATTTAAAAAAATCTAACCTCAAAATTATAAAGTTTTTAAAAAATGTATTTTTAAAGATTCATTTTTATTTATGAATATAAGAACTGGGGTGCAGGCCAGATGTGCAGGCCAGAGGTGCGGGGGTTTGGTGTGAGAAGATTCACCAGAGACAGAGTGGGGAGCAGAACAGGCAGATCTACTGAGATACACTGCTGAGGGGAGCAGTGGGTGAGACAAGAAAGGTCTGCTGCGCCATGTGGGTCAGCTCCCTGGCCTGATGGAGGGATAGTTGTAGTGTCTGGTAATAGTTTGATAGTTCTGAGACTTAATCCCTTGTGCCACCAGGGAGGTCCCTCAAAATTATAAAGTTTTAACAACAAAAATAGATGTGTAAGGGCTTAAATGGCTTTTCAGATTTTATTTGCCTTTGATTGCCACAACATAGGCCACATTTTTTATTTGTTTCATATTTGAATCCTGACTTCATTTAAAAAAAATTTTTTTTAAGATTTATTTTTTATTTATACAATGGGGGGTGGGTACAGGCCAGAGGCGCGGGAGGGTGAGAGGATTCACCAGACAGAGTGGGGAGCAGAACAGGCAGACGGACTGAAAGCACTACTGAGGGGAGCAGCGGGCGAGGCAGGAGAAGTCTGCTGTGCCATATGGGACTCTCCCCGGCTAGCCGGGAATCGAACCTGCGCTGCGGAGGCTGCGGACAGCTTCACATTGCTGCGCTCAACACGCTGAACCACTAGAGAGGCCCCTGGCTTCCTTTTTAAAATTAATTCATTAACTAGTTCCTGCTGGAACAAGAATTTGAATTTATTACAAATTCAATAGGATTTTGAAGGGTAAGACTTCATCTTGTGGGTAATAGAAATTCATTCAATTGCTTTAAACAAGGGAATAACTTGCTATATGCAGATTTTTTTAAAGTTTTATTTATTTATGCATACAAGAGCTGGAGTACAGGCCAGAGATGGGGGAGGTGAGAGAATTCACAGAGTGGGGAACAGAACAGCCAGACTGACTGAAACACACTGCTGAGGGGAGCAGCGGGCAAAACAGGAGAGGTCTGCTTAGCCATGTTGGTTGCTCCGTGGCCGGTGGGGGATCGAACTTCTGCTGCAGAGGCTGTGGTGCTTAACCCCTTGTGCCACCAGGGAGGCCCCGCTATATGCAGACTTCTAAAAGGCTTTTGGAGAATGGTTTTGAAGAGAAAGGGGCTGGTTGTAGGTGAAGCAGTTAGAAAGCTTTCTAACTCAAGGAGGTTAGAGAAGGTAAGACTTGAAGCTGAGGTGGTGCCAGTGGGATGCAAAGAGGAGATTGACTTAAGATATAGGTTGCGGAGGCATCAATACTTGTTCATTAATTAGCTGTAGGGGTGTGAAGGGAAGGAAGGAGTTTAGGATGACTTTCCTATTTCTGGTTGAGGCAATTGGATAGTGGTGGGGAAATGAAACAGAGTATACAGAAAAAGACTGGTGAAAAGCTGTAGAGGGCCTTCCTGGTGGCGCAGGCAGTTGAGCACTGCACTGTGAAGCTGTCCGCAGCCTCTGCAGTGCGGGTTCAATCCCGCCGGCTAGCAAGAATCCCACGTGGTGCAGCAGACCTCTCCTGTCTCGCCCACTCCTCCCCTCAGTAGTGTATTTCATCAGTCTGCCTGTTCTGTTCCCCGCCTGTCTCTGGTGAATCCTCTCACTCTCCCGTGGATCTGGCCTGTACCCCGGTTATTGTATAAATAAATCTTAAAAAAAAAAAAAAAAGCTGTAGAGCACATAGGTAGTATGTTTATCTTCTGATATATAACAGATGTTAATTTGAATCCTGGCTCTGCACTCATTAGCTATGTCATATTGAGCACATTAGATGACTTGAGTTGCAGTTTCCTCAACAGTAAACTGGAAGTAATACAATACACTTTTTGTGTATGTGTGTATTAAATGCACTGTCTGGCATCAAATAAGCATTCTATAATGTTAGCTATTATTACTATCATTTTTTTTTACTATTACATTTTACTACAGGGCCTCCCTGGTGGCACAGGGTTTAAAGTCTTAGCTCGATCCCAGGCCTACCAGGGAGCTGAGCCACATGGTGCAGCAGACCTTTCCTGTCTCACCCACTGCTCCTCTTAGCAGTGTATCTCAGTAGATCTGCCTGTTCTGCTCCCCACTCTGTCTCTGGTGAATCCTCTTACCCCCCTGTACCTCTGGCCTACACCCCAGTTCTTGTATGCATAAATAAAAATAAACTAAAATTTTTTTTACTACTGTTAATTTTACTATTAACTTACTGTTATTAACTATTAATATTAGCCATCATTACTTCTGAGAAAGGGTCCAGGAAAAATAGGTGAGGCACTTTGGGAAAGAACTCTAGTCAAGTTAAAAAAGCGAAAAAAACAACCTTGTGGTAGAACAGCTAAAGCCAGAAGGAGGAGTCCCGGCAAGGCTGAGCTACAGCCAAGTTGCTGAGCTGAGTCATTGGAAGTGACCTGCTGGGCTTCCCAGGCCACAGCTGGACAGGCTGTGGTCAGGCTGGACTGGGTTTTAACGTGATGACTTCATTGTCAGTGGGGAATTATGGGAATGTTCTGGGAATCTTTTTGTCTTCCCCTGCCCCTTGAAGGAATTCATCACTTGGTCTTTTTTTTTTTTTTAAGATTTATTTATTTATGCATACAAGAGCCGGAGTACAGGCCAGAGGTGCAAGGGGGTGAGAGGATTCACCAGAGACAGAGCAGGGAGCAGAACAGGCAGATTGACCGAAGTACACTGCTGAGGGGAGCAGCGGGCGAGTCAGGAGAGGTCTTGCTCTTTTTTATAGGATATTCCACACCCTATCTTATTTTCTGAAAAGATCAGGAATAGAGTAAAGCGACAGAAAAGCCAGAATATAAATCCTGTCTAGTTTGGCCACTGATTTGCTGAGTGGCTCGATTCTCCTCAGTCTTATTTACAACACGAGAACGAGCAAACTAGCCTCCAAAGTGTCAAGTAAGAATTAGGTGAAGGCTGGCAGCTCAATAAACAGGCATGCAGTGGTGTTCAATTCATTGTGTATTTTGTCTCTTTTCTGCTCCTGGTCGCTCTCCCTCTATTTCCCTGAGGAAACCAATCGGTTCACCTTTTCCACACCCAGCCTTTGCTCGGCCAGGCACACAACTTCATGAATGGGTGATTCAAAGCATCAATGAACGCTCCCTGCGGCGCCCGGCTCACCCGGAGCCCCGCCCCCTCGCTCTCCCCTCCCCGAGCGCCTCGGCCCAGGGCGGGTCTCGCGCGAAAGTTCGCGGCGCGTGCGCGGGAGGCCGCGCGCGGACGGAGGCGGCGGCGGGTCTTCGTGCGCGCGCGCGAGAAGGGGCGGGGCAGGCCGGAGGCTGGCGGGCCGGCGGCTGCCTGAGGAGTCGGCGGCGGCGGCGAGTGGCCGCCTGTGTGCTGCGTGAGGGAGGACGAGGCGGCGGTGATGCTGCCGCCCTCGTAGGGAGTAGCCAGCAGGCCGCGGCGCTTGAGGCCCGGGGACGCGCGGAGGCGCTGCGGGCTGGGGTCGGTGTCTTCGGGCGCCCGGCCGGCCACCATGGCCGCGGGCGGTGGTTGGCGCGGCAGCGCTGCGGCCCGGGGCCGTGCGGGGCTGGGACGTTCGCGGCGTTGACGCCCGCGGGGCCCAGCCGCGGAGATGAAGCGGACGCGGTGCCGCGACCGACCGCAGCCGCCCGCGGCCGCCCGCCGGGAGGATGGGACGCAGCGGGCGGCGGAGCTGCCCCAGCCCCAGCCCCTTCGCCGGCGAGCGCCGCCCGGGAGGCAGCGACTGGAGGAACGGACCGGGCCCGCGGGACCCGAGGTCAAGGAGCAGGTAGGGGCGGACCGGAGTCCGAAAGGCAGAGGATGGGTAGGGAGAGCCTTCCTGGGGGCAATGGGGAAGGTGGGAAGTCTTTGCCCGCCGGGTTTGGGCTAAGGCTTTTGAGTGCTGGGGACCAAAGAGTTCGGCAGGAGCAATGGGAGGTCTGGAGAGGCAGAAGAATGGGGAATAGAGAAGTGGAAGCGATGGCCCGGGGTAGAACGGAAAATGGGGTGTGAGGAATGAAAAAATGGTCTCATGGGCATTTGTGGTGAGGGATTCTGGTGGGAAGAAGGACGCTGGGATGTGGACTGGGAGTAAATGAACTGCAGAGTGGTCTTACTAAAAAGGGGGCATTGAGTTATCCAGAGGGGTAAATAGTGTGTAAGGTGGGGAAACACAACGTTGTCTGTAGTAAATGTAATCCTGTTTCATAGAGGTGGTCTTGACAGTTGTAAAAATGGATGTCATTCCTAAACATTCTGTGATTTGACTATCATAGCCGTGTAGGAGTGTGTGCAGAATCATTGTTAAGGTTCTCGGTAATCTGTTTCACGAGAAAGCACTTTTAAAAACACTTGAGTGTGTGGTATCTCAAGTCTAGTGCTGGGAGCTGAGAATTTATAAATATTGGCTCTGCCGTCTAAGAGTTTACCCCTGAAAACACCTTGATGGGAAAACAGAAAGTAATGTAAAAATATTAATGGGAGTTTCTAAATGGACAGGGTATGTTTTATTATTTATTAATCAAGCCTGTGTGTATTTAGAAGTAGGGGATAAAGGTCAGTTTTATCAGGGAGGAGAAACTGCCACTACCAGCTGTAGGAAGTTCAGTTAAAGGAGAGTATGTGGTTCTTGATCTTGCAGGATTTACAGAAAAGTTCTGTAGTAACAAATTCTAGTGACAGTTTTCCTTTTGCATCGTTCTGTTGGAGACCCCAGTGACTTCATCCCTGAGTCTTTCAGTACGTCTGTTAGGCTTCCTGTCTCTTTCCCATCATTTAAATAAGTATTTTTCTTAGATATTACTTTTTATTATACAGCTTCAGTGATGTGCTTGCTGGCATGGGGATTCCCCCACCCCACCCCGTTTTGTTCTTCCACCTTTTTTTCTCCACTTAGTCTTGACTAGACTACCATCAGCTCTATCTCTGGCCTTTTTTCAGACCACTGAGCATTGTCCTTTTGCTGTAATTTCCTCCCTCTAAACCTTCGAAATGTATGGAAAACCCTGATCCTTTCCTGACTCAGTTCACCTGGTCCAATTGACCTTACCGTGTATTTCACTACAGAGTTCAAGGTTACTTCACATTCCCCTTTCCTCTATCTCAGAATTGTCTTTATTCATCCTTTGCTTCATTCTCATAGAAAGAAGTAAAAACATTCTCCTTTTCAAGGCTAATCCCTCTACTTATAACCTGAATTTCATCCTTTCTCTGTTGTAGACCCTTGTTATATATATTTTCTTTGTTTTATACCTCAAATAAAAACAAAGTAACACAATTTCTCTGAATTGTGTAACCCACTGTAAGGGCCGAACTGGGCACAGTGCAGGTTTTCTGATCCCATGCAGACCAGGTCAAGGAGGAGTCAGAGTCCTCAGTGGTTTTGAAGGTTTTTTATTGGGGTTCACCAGGCATTTGGCAGGCGGGGTGCTGGCTGGGAGGCTGGCAGGCCTCCCAGCCCCCAGCAAGTCTTCACTCTATCTGGGCTCTCTAGCGTTCGTTCTGCTGCTTCTCGGCTTCTCTTTCGGATTCTGCTTCGGCGGCTGCTGCTGCTGCTGCTGCTGCTGCTGCTGCTGCTGCTGCTGCTGGCATCCCCGTGATGCCACCCTTAAAAGCACAGTCTTAACTCAGCTGAATCCCATCTACCTATGCCCACACTGTATTCCAGGTGCCCGCCATCAGGCATGCATTCAGGACAAGGATCCATCATCTATCCTGATGGCGGAAGGGCAGAAAAGCCTGATATTTTCTTTACCCTACAGTCCACCCCCTCAGGGTTTTCTGCCATACAGTCTATACATATATATACAATTTTCTTTTTTTTTTTTTTTTTTTTTTTTTAAAGATTTTTTTTTTTATAGAGGCATTTTTATTTATTTATTTATTTGTTTGTTTGTTTGTTTGTTTATACATGCACTGGGTACAGTCAGAAGTGCGGGAGGGTGAGAGAATTCACCAGAGCCAGAGCGGGGAGCAGAGCAGGCAGAAGGACCGAAGTACACTGCTGAGGGGAGCAGCGGGCGGCAGGAGAGGTCTGCGCGCCATGCGGGACCCTCCTCTGGTGACCGGGGAGCAGCCGGGGAACGAACCGGCGCTGCAAAGGCTGCGGGCAGCTTCGCAACCCAGCGCTCAACCGCTGCGCCACCGGGGAGGCCCCTTTATATATACAATTTTCTAAGCAAACAAACAATGCAGCCATGGCCCACAGAAGCAAATACATCAAATATAACAAAATACAATATAACAAAATACAACAGAACACAAATAAGTCCAGGCAGGGCACCAACCTAGTGCAAAAGACAATTATTGGTACCAGCAGATGAGCCACCAAATCTGCTGCCGAAGGCACTGCTCATATGAGGGAGGGGAATCACTCATGACATCTATTGCAACACGCCAGGAGCCGTCAGACTTCCTGGCCTTCTCTGGCTGTAGTCTCGGCTACAAGCCACACACAGCATCCACCCCCAGGATGCACTAGCTCTGGGATTGGCAATTTTATTCTGTTGGGGGTAATCGCCAACCCTCAGGGTTTCTGTCTGCAGTCGCTCCAACACTCGGCCTTCATAGCCACCAATGCGACTCGCAGACCCCTGCACTCAGGCTAACCCACTGCACAAGCACATGGGTCAGGGATCCAAACTCTACATTTGGCTTGGGCTCCACCCCAAGCCACGTTCCCCACCCGTCCCCCAAGGACAGGTTCCTCAGCTCCTCACCCTCACTCAAGAATGAGCAGGGCATCACCCACAGGTGATTTTACGAGACTCACAGTTCTTCAGCATACCCAGGCTGCTTAACAGCTGCTTAGGGCTTCTCAACTTAGCATCAGTACCAGCTTTTGCTTTCTCAGTTGGCTTTTCTCCTCCACCTGGCTGCTGGGCATAACAGGCTGCTTTTGGCCATCTAGGCCCACTGGCCACTCCCAGATTCCCATCTCCTGGGGTTTACAAACAAAACTGTTCCACCCCCAGGGTCCCAAAACATATCAACCTGCAAGGTCCTCCACCTTCTGGCGGGATTGTCAGTCCATCACTCCATCATTTCAAGTCCATTGGCCTCTCCCTGCTTCAGCAACGGCCTGCTGCCTCAGGGGTCATTGGCTGGTCCTTTCCGGTGTTGTTGGCTGGTCCTCTCGGGCATCTCCTCCATGCGAGGTCTCGTCCCACAGCTCTGGACCATATCCACCTTCTGTGCCACCATGGCGCCTCCAGCGTCGTCACAGGCAAGCAGCCTGTTCTCCTTAGTCCCTCCAGGTCTTCGGAGGGCTCCAATACCCATCTACATGGATCCTGCCGACTACGCCAATTGTAAGGGCCGAACTGGGCACAATACAGGTTTTCTGATCCCATGCAGACCGGGTCAAGGAGGAGTCAGAGTCCTCAGTGGTTTTGCAGGTTTTTTATTGGGGTTCACCAGGCATTTGGCAGGCAGGGGTGCTGGCTGGGGGGCTGGGAGGCTGGCAGGCCTGCCAGCCTCCCAGCCCCCCAGCAAGTCTTCACTCTATCTGGGCTCTCTAGCATTTGTTCTGCTGCTTCTCGGCTTCTCTTTCGGCGGCGGCTGCTGCTGCTGCTGCTGCTGCTGGCGTCCCGTGATGCCGCCCTTAAAAGCACAGTCTTAACTCAGCTGAATCCCATCTACCTATGCCCACACTGTATTCCAGGTGCCCGCCATCAGGCATGCATTCAGGACAAGGATCCATCATCTATCCTGATGGCGGAAGGGCAGAAAAGCCTGATATTTTCTTTACCCTACACCCACCCAAGCCACTTTATCATCTCTTCCTTGTTTTACCAGCAACTTTCTTGAAAAATGAGTTTGTATTCACTATCTGAGCTTCCTCACCTTGTGTACATCTCTCATGTTATGGTTTGGCTTTTACACAAACTTCCCCAAAACTGATGTCTTCAGGGTCACCAAGGATTTTGTGTTTGTTTACCTTTTAGTTGAGGTGTGACTTAACAATGCACAAATCAGAGTTTCATTCAGCCCATGAATTTTTGCAGAATTAATGCACCCAGGTGACTGTTACTTACATCAATCTGTAGAACATTTTTAGTATCCTACAGTGTTCCTTTGTGCTTTTTCCCAGTTATTACCCTTTTCCAAAGGTAACTGATTTCCCAACCTCAATCACTATGTATTAGTTTTGCCTTTTGTTTGAATTTCATGTAGATAAAACCATGTAATTTTTACTCTTTTGTGACTAGATTCTTTCATTTATATCTTGTTTTTGAAATTAATCTGTTGTGTGTGTGTAGAATTTTTTCATTGCTGTTTACTTTTCTATCATATGAATGTATCATAATAGATACCAAAATTTCCTCCTTTTTTCACGTTAAAAAATAATGCATGGGGCCTCCCCGGTTGCGCAGCGGTTGAGCGCTGGGCTGCGAAGCTGCAGTGCTGGGTCGATCCCCAGGCCGGCCGGCGAGGGTCCCACATGGCGCGCAGACCTCTCCTGCGGTGCCCGCTGCTCCCCTCAGCAGTGTATTTCGTCAGTCTGTCTGTTCTGCTCCCCACTCTGGTTCTGGTGAATTCTCTCACCCTCCTGAGCTTCTGACTGTACCCAGTGCTTGTATAAATAATGCATGGCTACTTGTGAAATAGTTTTTTTTTTTTTTAATATTTATTTATTTATTTATTTATTTATTTATTTATACATGGACTGGGCACAGTCAGAAGCATGGGAGGGTGAGCGAATTCACCAGAGCCAGAGGGGAGAGCAGAGCAGGCAGACTGACGAAGTACACTGCTGAGGGGAGCAGCGGGCAGCAGGAGAGGTCTGCA